TGCCAAGCATGTCAACAATACTCAATAAACATTGTTATGGTCTGATGTAACACAATGTGGTACAGCCATATTATAACATGCACTTGTTCACTTGTTAGGTAAAGCGTTCTAGAAGTAAAGGTGGATTGGCTGGTCCTGATGGTACAAAGTCAGTGTTTGGTCAAATGTGTGCTAAAATGAGTTCCTTCAGTCCAGACAGTCTTCTCCTACCTCATCGTGTTTGGAAAGTAAAGTTTGTTGGTAAGAGTTACTTTTTTTTCAACCCTACTTCCCCCATAACCATATTCTTTTATTCCTTTTGGGGGATAAGGGGTGGTATTACATCAGAGCATGGGGAAAAATAAAATGCTTAAAATGTTCAGCAGTGCAGAGGCCATTTTCCAAGAAATTTGGGCCCCATGTTTAGGTTTTGTATCAGTAGAAAGATAAAGAACTTTAAAAATCAAAGATGCAGATTTCTAACCCAAATGTAACTCTGAAATTGAACCTGGCTAGTTAATTTTCACTAAACTCACAATTTGCATTTTACTTTGCTTTAATGGTGAAAAGTAAACTAGATTAGGATGTTGCTAATAAACTTCCGATCTACGGCTATATTGACATGTTTAGAACTGAATCAAAGTGAAAGACTAATGTGTTAAAATATTCCCTAAGAACCTTATGTTCACTGAATCTTTTATTTTTCCTGCCATCCTCCTGCTTCCTTATTTTGCCCAATGGGACACAGTAATAATACCTGGTAGCTTTAAGAGAGAATACAGTTTAACCAGGAGTTTAAAAATATCATTATAACTTAAAATAGGATTAATTGAAACTACTCTTAATCAAGGTCATGTTGATTAAACAGAGTAATTTGTTTTATTTCTTTTTGTTGTGTTCTTAAACGCTAACCTTGCAGTCCACAAATGTTTTTAAATGTCTGGCTGTTTATGGTAACACTTATACAAGGTTGTAAAATAATCATGTCCGTCAAGGAGGAAACTATATTATAGAACCAACATTTAAAATGCATTAAGTTATTTTATCAATTGACAATGCAGCTTTTAAATACAATTTTTCTATTTATCCATCGCAAAGGAGAAATATTAATACATTTTAATTCAGGACTACATTTGGAAACGTTCTTGAAATGATCTGCATGTTTAAACCAACTTTTTGTTTTCACAAGGCGAGTCTGTGGATGACTGTGGTGGAGGTTACAGTGAATCAATAGCAGAAATGTGTGAAGAGCTCCAGAATGGGCTTACCCCTCTCCTCATTGTGACCCCGAATGGAAGAGATGAATCTGGAGCAAATAGAGATTGCTTCCTGTTAAACCCTGCTGCCAAGTCTCTCTTACATATGAACATGTTTCGTTTCCTGGGTAAATTTCTTAGCAGCACTGTAATAACTTTACCAAATCTTTGACCATGTGAAGTGTGTAGAATTTAAAACATAAAAGGGAGGGATAGTTCAGTTGTTTGAGCATTGACCTGCTAAACCCAGGGTTGTGAGTTCAATCCTTGAGGGGGCCATTTAGGGATCTGGGGCAAAAACCTGTCTGGGGATTGGTCCTGCTTTGAGCAGGGGGTTGGACTAGATGACCTCCTGAGGTCCCTTCCAACCCTGATATTTTATGATTCATATTTTTTACATGTCCAGGTGTGCTGCTGGGCGTTGCTATCAGAACTGGCAGCCCGCTAAGCCTCAATCTGGCAGAACCAGTATGGAAACAGCTGGCAGGGATGAACCTAACAATTGCTGACCTCAGTGAGGTAAGTATGCAGTTTTTGATCATAGATTTAAGGACATGTCTACCTTATGGGGACTGTTCCAGCACAGCTATGGTGCTGTAGCTATCCCAACATGTACCTGCAGTATAGATGCAGCGTGTACACTGTCGTAAGGGATTTTTCCTGAACTACGGTTGCTACATTGATAGAAGCATTTTTCTGTCAATCTGGCTGTGTTTACTCTGGGAGTTAGGTCATCAATAGCCATGTTGCTCAGGGATATGGATTTTTTTACACTCCTGAGTGATGTAGCTTCATGTCCTTAATTTTAAGTGTTGAATAGACCTAATTTACAGAAAGCGAGAGAGAAGTTAGCATAAGTTCTCTACATGAAACTGACTTTCTGTAGCTGTAGATTGTTGCATTTTGACTAACCTTTTTAGCTTTGAGACAGTTAAAGCTCTGTTTTGTCCTTAAAGTTAGAAATTTAAATAAATGTAAGTCTTATGAAAAGAGTTAAAATAATTGTTTGAATTACAGAACACCGTGAAACCTGTCTTAAGCTATCACAAAGGGAAATGAGAAACTGGTTGCTTAAAGGGGACTTTCTAGTAAAGATGGATCAAAATTGTACACACAACACTCTTGAATTGTTTGGAGTGGACTTCTAGGACAAGAAGTTTGGTGGTGTAAAGGATGGTCTTTTATGCAGTTTAATTGTATTGCTACCCTTATAGTAAAAGCTAATCTCCAGAGGTACACTTCTGTATATTTTTGCTCTTGAGTTTATGTCTAGAAGGAGACCAGGCAGGAACCTCCACAGTTTTGAACATTTAAAATTTTAGAGATGCTTTTATGAGGGGCAGTGTGGCCCAGTGGGCAGAACACTGGACTGGACTCAAGAGTCAGGAGACTTTTCAGGCTCTGCCACTGACCTGCTGGGTGATCTTGGGCAAGTTACGTCACCTTTCTGCATCTGTTTCCCCATCTGTAATATGAGGATAATGATACTGACCTCTTTTGTAAAGCACCATGAGATCTAAAGACGAATAGCACTATATAATAGCTAGACACTTCTATTAGAATCTTTGTTACAAGAGGAGTTCCTTTCAAGTTGCAGTCAGCAGAGAAGTTTTGTAAGGGCCATATTATCTCAGCTCACAGCAGTGCTTAACAACTTCACAGCACCTCATTCATACATTTTCCCAGGTTCTTACCTGTCTCTTGAGTCAGTTTTTTACTGTTAAAAAAGGGTTTTTTTTCTTTCATTGATATGCTTTGAAGATGCCTGTAATATTGTATGAATATTAGAGGTTCTCTGTTTGCCTGATTGTTTTTATGTTTTCTGTATGGTTACAATGAGTTAATTGCAACAGGAACGGTAGCCCTTTAGTTACCAATCCTTAAAAGGACAATGCAGGTGGTTAACTGTCTGTCTGTCTGGCTCTGTTGGGGAAAGGTTCCAGCATGTAACCCCAGGGGAACATTCAAGCTGGAAAACTCAAACAAAGAACTTTGGAGCAGATAGAAAAATCTGAGCCCGAGCTTGAAGGTGTAGTGGGGAGACACACGCAAGGGGACTGCAGGAGTTGCAGACTGTCCCCCTCACACTGAGGTTGGGGTACCTGGCATAAGGCCATGCCTGCCTAAATTTTAGGTTAGACTGTTAAACATGTTGACAGTTTGTGTTACTATCCCTTAGCTTTTGTTATGATTTATTCCTGCGGTTGAGTAGGGTTACCATATTGCAGTCCTGGAAAAAGAGGACACTCCAAGGGGCCCCAGCCCTGCTCCAACTCCGCCCCCTTCCCCACCCCGGCCCCGACCAAACTACGCCCCTTCCCAAAAGTCCGCGTCCCAACTCCGCCCCCTCCCCTGAACGCTCCGCCCCCTGCTCCTCCTCCTCCCCTGCTTCCCGCGAATCAAATGTTCACGGGAAGCCTGAAACAGGCAGGCAGCAGATAAGCTAGGGCGGCGGGGAGGGGGGGGGTGCGCGAGGAGGCGTAGCCCAATCCAGGCCCCCCGGCTGAGCTGCTCGCTCCGGCGGCCGGCCAAGAGGCTCTGGCCCCAATGGCTTCGGCTCGGGCCCTGGGGCGCCGGCCCTGGTTCCAGCAGAGTGGCTCCGCCCCGGCCCTGGCCGAGCGGCGCCAGCCGGCAGCTGAGCACCCCCAGCCCTGGTCGCTCCGGCCCAGCTTGGCTCGGGCCCCGGTTCCGGCTGAGCGGCTCTGGCCCGGCCCTGGCCGGCGGCCGAGCACTCCCAGCCCCGGTCCCAGCGGCTCCAGCCCGGCTTGGCTCGGGCCCCGATTCTGGCCGAGCGGTGCCGGCCAGCGGTGGCATCTGAGCTCACAGCCACCTCCTCCCGGGCTCCGGCTGCTGCTGTGCTGGGGAGAGCGGCGGGAGCCAGGTAAGTTGGAGGCCAGGGAGGAGGCGGTCCCCTTACCATGCCTCCCTATTTTCCTGGACATGTCCCGCTTTTTGGAAATTCCTCCTGGGCAGGGATTTGAGGACCAAAAAGTCGGACATGTCTGGGAAAATCCAGACGTATGGTAACCCTACGGTTGAGATTAAACAATACTTGGTTCTGAAAGGGTTGTTTTGGATCACTCTTTTCATACTGGTCACAGGAAAGTCTTGCAGGTCTCGAACCTAGTCAGGCCTGTTGAGGAATGATGGTTTACACAGGGTACTTTACTTCACCACCCAGTCTGAGAGTGGGAGAACCATGGGATTCCCAGTTCTGCCCCAGGGAAGTAAAGTGCAGGCCTGACATCTGGCAGAGGTGCACTCAGAGACAGAAGGGGTCAATGCTGCAGCTAGCCCTGAACTGTGACAACACTGGCCCTGCTTTGTGCATACTGTTTGTATTGTTGTTGCTCCTGGAATGTATTATCCTTTTTCTTATCTGTGTCAGGTTGTTTGATGCTTACTGCTCTGAGAATTCACTTAACATATCAATCCATGTTCTTGTCAAGCAGGACTCCTGTGAGGTGTTGCAATGTTCTTTTGAGAACAAGGGAATAGTTCATGTGAGGCACCCGTAAATCCAGTCTCAGTGGTGTGATCTGGTTTCTTGGCAGATACTTTTTCCTTTCCCTTTCTCTTTGGGGGGAGGGGGCAACTGGACCACAGAAACTAATGCGGTTTTGTGCAAAATACCATGCTACTTTGTTACTTAAAAAGCCAGTTGGATGACTGCTTTCATGTCAATTAATTATTCTGGGTAGTTGGTGTGACTAGTCCCCCTTGTCCTATTGTGAAAACATTCCTATGCCATATGAAAAGTACACAGAGGTGAAGAATGAATAACTTCAGTTTTAGCTCATAGATTTGTTTTTCTTTGAAAGGTTGATAAAGATTTTATTCCTGGGCTTATGTACATTCGAGACAACGAAGCTACTTCTGAAGAGTTCGAAGCCATGAGCCTTCCCTTCACAGTGCCAAACGCAAGTGGTCAAGACATTCAATTGAGTTCCAAATATACCCATATTACACTGGATAATAGAGCTGAATATGTGAGACTGGCAATAAACTACAGGTTTGTTGAATAACTTCACTAGTTAGATTTAAAGAAATTGTGAGAATTAGAGAAGTGTTGCTTTTATGCAATGTTATGCAATGCAGTGCTCTGGCTTCATGTACGGTATTAGCCAAATTTTTTCCTGTCATTATAGTGTAAATCAATATCCTTTTGAGAAGGGAAAAACGGAATCATTAGGTCAGGCATATTCTTGACAAAATAAGAGAGGATTGTTTCAAGCTGACAATGGTGGCCAAAACTGTCTCTTGTCATCTTGGTTTGCCCAGAAGTTGATCCAGCCTCCTCTGGCGTGGGCTTCACAATAGTTGTAACATGTCTGTCATCTCCAGCCTGGCTTGCTGTAATGCAGGGGTCGGCAACCTTTCAGAAGTAGTGTGCCGAGTCTTCATTTATTCACTCTAATTTAAGGTTTTGCATGTCAGTCATACATTTTAACCTTTTTAGAAGGTGTCTTTCTATAAGT